ATTTTTTTTTTTTTTTTTTTTTTTTTTTTTGGGGGGGGGGGGGGGAGGGAGGGAGGACAAGTTGGAGTTGTAGAGCGAGAGCCGGCGTCAGCAGATATACTGAAATCAGCAGTATGCAAAAAACACAAGCACGTTGCAAGGGGGCCGCATGCCAAGATCTGTAACTCTGAATCGAAAAACTCTTCCAAGTAAAAACAAGAAACACCAATGGTCTTCATAGCTATGTTAACTCTTCATAAGATAGGAGATCGGTGGCAAGAGACGCAAAAAAACAAGAGTCTGCATAGCTCTGCTAACTCTTCAGAAGATAGGAGATCGGAGCCAAGAGAGCCCTAGCTATGGCTACAACCTCCCCCCGTTGCGGACGGCGGTAGTCTGGCTTCCCTCTACCAGTTTCGGCATCAGGCCTCATCATCACGGATATCGTTATGGACAGCGCTCGATGCGTTTTATTGAACTTGGATTTTCTTGTTGGGATTTTACAATCCGTACTTGTTCGGTTTTCTGGCTACGCTTTTGAGTGTGTCTGTGTACTTCCCCTTCCAGGTTCACGAGTTTCATGTGCTCCCAACACAGGAACTTGAGTGCGTCTTCCCATTTCATGTTCTGAGGTGCCGTGCTCTCAAGTCCCACGTTCAAGAGTTCCATAACCTCAAATCCGTGTGTTCTTGGGGTCCATGCGCTTGAGTGAGTTCACCATACGGCTGGATTGCCGTCGGATCGTCGTCGGACCGTTATCAGATGGTAGTGGGATAGTCGTCGGACCGTCATGAGGTCGTCGTGAGATTGTCATCGATCTCCATGCTTCGTGCCCTTGACGTCCCTACTGGTTGTGTGGGCCTTGTAGGTATTTCCATGGTGCTCTTTGTTATATCAGTTGGAAAGATAAAGAGAGAAGTATCAGCAAAAAAAAATTGGCAGCGAAATTGGCGTGGCCGCGGCTTACGAGTGACCCAGAGGTATATATATCGTCTATTAAAAAGAAGAGACCAAATTTGTTGAAACATTTTAACAAATAAGGAAAGAGAGAAACAGGCCCTGGCTCCATGTGTTGCACACCGAAATGCGGCGGCATGGTGCTCTCTTTCTCATTGCACTCTTCTCTTCCTCTTCGCCGCAGTCGCCTGACGCAGTGAATGGATGTGGCGCGGGGCATGATGGTCGTGCTCGTGTGACTCTTTGCAGATCGAGAAGGCAAAATATGAAGGGGCACAAGGATCATATTCGTCTGCGACGGCAATGGGTAGTGGTCCCATCAACATCACCGGCTTTGACATGAATGGCGATGGCGCCGGTGGCGGTTTTGGTAATGGCAATGCATTTGCGTCCATGATGGACATGGAGCCATCCAGCAAGCCAGCTGCAGGTTCTGCACTTTATCATTTACCTACTCGTAGCCTCCTCCTTCCCCTCC